TCAAGGTAATGTTGTTGTTGTTAATGTTGGTATTCAACACTCATTGAATAACTAAACACAGAAATCTAGTAACTCAAGTCCTATGATAATCCAAAAATGATGATAAAAACTAGGACTCATATTGTCACAACCTCGGGCCTTGTCTAGATGCATTGCAAAGGCTCCCAAGTTAACCTCCCCGACTAAAATCGGCCTATGTGAAAAGGTGTTCTGCTCATTACTAACCCGAGTTGCTTCCTCGAGAGACACCGCATCACCCACAGTATGCGAAGGAGCAAACAAACCTTCAAACTCATCCACAACCATAGAATCCTAGATGCTTATGTCTCTGGCCAACAACCCATGAACTTAATTTAAGTTGCAACGATTTTGATTCACCAACTCCTTTGTTTAACCGTATTGTGAAAAAAATTGGTATTCTTATCCTCATCCTGAAGCCAATATTCCTTCTCCCTCTGTTTCTAAAATATGTACTATTGTTCAAGTAACTCCACGAGGGTGGGTTTCACACTCTGGAATATAATTCACCAGTACTCCTTTGCCAGCTTGCCTTCTTAAGAATGCCAAATGATCTCTACAGTCTACTTGTGTAATAAGCAAAAGCCAAGCCGAACAACTAATTGAAGTAGCAGTCTGTCCATGTAATTTTCGATGTGATTTTCATCATGGGTCATTGGAAAGCAGTCTCTCTGTTCTTTAGTACAATGTTAAGGCTACATACATCTAACCCCCCTTACTCCATCGTAAGTGTGAGCCTTTTGCACACTGGGGTACGTAATGTTGTTGTTGTTGGTATTTAACACTTGTTAAATCAGTAAAATCACTAAATACAGAAATCTACTTACTCAAGTTCTATGAGCCTTACCCCACCGTAGGTTGCCTTTGTGCACTGGGGTAATGTTGTTGTTGTTGGTATTTGACACTCGTTGAATAACTAAATACATAAATCTACTAACTCACGTCCTATGATATTCCAAAAATGATGTTAAATCCAGGGCTCATACAGTAGGAGCCTAAGCCTTGTCTAGATGCATAGAAAAGGCTCCCAACTTAACCTCCACGGCTAAAATCTACCTATGTAAAGAGGTGTTCTACTCATTACTAACCGAGTTGCTCCCTCGAGAGGCACTGCATCTCCTACAGTATGCGAAAGAGCAAAGAAACCTCTAACATAATCCACAACCCTAGAAACATAGATGCCGACCAACAACCCATGACATTTTAAGTCGACCATTTCGATTCACCAACTCCTTTGTTTAACCGAATTGTGGAAAAATTGGGTATTCTTATCCCCACTCTGAAGCCAAAATTTCCTTCGCCCTCTGTTTCCAAAATATATACTATTGCTCAAGTAACCCCACGTCGGTGGGTTTCACACTCTGGAATATAATTCATCAGTACTCCTGTTGTAATACCGTCCCCAATTCTATTTATTTTTTTCTAAATTATGTATTGAACATTGAGGAATGGTTATTGAATTTACGAGATTGTAAATTTTTCCTATTTCTTTTGCGGGAATAGTAAAATGCACGCGGGCCCACACCGAGAGCGGGGACCACCCGATACTTCCGGGACCACATATTATATTCATCTTGGTCTAGCTAATATTTATATGATGATGTATATTTATGTTGGGCCATAGAAAAGGCATAGACTTGGCCGGTTGGTCAAACGAGGCCTAATTACCGGTACTGGTAATTTATCAAAAAACTGTTGGAGGAATTAGTCGGATAAACCAGCAAAAAACGTTAGAAAATAATATAGCTCGAGTTGCGTAAACGCTGTCCTCAAGAAAGTATTTCCTACTAGCGAAAATCTTTCCCCAAGATAAAATGAGCTCTTCGACGTAAGCCGGTAACAGAACAACGAGAGTAAAAATAAATATATTAATCCAGCAGAGTAATGGGACAGAAAATATATTTCGCTAGCTACTAAATATGAAGAGTAATATTTTCTTTCTTTAAAAACAAGAACGAATGAAGTTTGAAGCTAAGGCTCGTTCCCTTATCATCCTAGCTCCATGCAAACATGTATATATACAAAAAACCTCAGTAACAAGAATGAAACGTTTGGAGAGTAAATATTACTTTAATAATAATTAAAGCTAGCAGCTTGCCACAAGGTTTTCAAATGAAGGTGAATTCAAAAGGTTGATTAATGCATATTAATAAAAAATCAATAGCTTGTAACGGTTTTTATAAGAGCTCAATGGAAAATGTGCATTAAAGCATGTTTATTTCAATTAATAATCACAATAGGATCAAGCCTAACTTGAAACGTTCAAAACTTCCTCCATTTTCATTATAGTTATAATTTACTATGTATAATATGTATAAATATTTATTAATATATTAGTGTGTGATAAATAATTAAAGAACATAACATTTTATTCATTTGAAATACTACTATTTTCCAACAATCCCCCACATATTTCAAATGAATAATTTTACATTTTTGAAAATAGTTTAGAAAATTTCTGCTGGATTAAAGGAGTGAGACTTTAAGTTTGGTGTTCGTAGACTATGAACCAAACCGAGATCATTAAGTCTTAATAAACCGAGCTTTTGGTGAAACATATAGTTTCTTGAAACCAACAAGTTACTATTGGTAAATCAGGGTCTTAACGGTCGTGTCTCACCCCGCACAATTTCTCGTTATTACGCCGTTGTGCGCCGTAAGGCCATGCGCGTGCTTGGTTTTCATGAGTGCTCTAGAAGTTTTGTCATGCTTCATAGAGGCGGCCCTACCTCACACTCATATAGGTGATATCATCAAGTGTGTACCGTTTTTACACACCACCCTAAAATTAAGGGCTATGATAATCATTAAGAGCTTTTAGCTCACCCTCTCAAAGAATGCGGTTTCTAGCCTATATCTCACATCATGGAAATGGGCAACTTTAGTTAGGCTAGCAGATTAAATGGAAGACTTGTTATTACCCATTTGAACTTGCTTCATGGGATCTCCAATCACACAAGTTGAGTTCCCATCCCCATTCGTTTCAAAGTGACACTAGTCCCATTTCCTTCGATGTTTCGGTTATCATTTTTCGTCCTAGGGATTCTGTCAAAGGAGTAGCTAATTCCTTCTGACTTCATAAAATTAATGGAAATAATTCCATTCTCAAACATCATTGCACCCCTTTTAAGGGTGAATGGATATCCAATATTTTAATTTATCTCATGTGAGTATACTCAGATGTCGTCGTTGTATCCCGGCAATACAAAGGATAATTCTCAATAAAATATAACATCGATGTGACCCTCCAGTGCATCATTTAATTCTCAATAAAATATATACCATCATTGTACCAATATACAATGGATAATACTCATATAACATCATCGTACCTCTCTAGGACAAAGAATATTTCTCAATAAAACATATTATCGTTGTATCAATAGATTATAATGGATAATCTCAAAAAAATACCATAATTAATGGTACCTCTCAAATATATATCTGAATAACCACCTCAACACAGTCCAATGATCCCTACTTGGGTCATGAGTGTATCAGCTCAATCTTCCGACAATACAAACTATGTCGGGCCTAGTATAATTTATAAAATGTAATAAATATCCAATAATTTGGGGATACTCATATTGAGCCTCACGATCACTTCTATTTTTTTAAGTGCATATGAAAGTCATAAGGGATACTCACGGGTGTGACATTAAAATGTCCAAACCTCTTTAGAAGTCTATCAACATAATGCTCTTGAGATAGTATAACACCATCATCCTTCCTTGTGACTTTCATATATACCCAAAATCATTTTTGTTACCCCCAAGACTTTCACATTAAAAATTAACATATCATCCACATACAAGCAAATTATAATGCACACACCATTTTTACATTTAGTGTATACACACTTTGTGTTCCTGACCACTAATCACATGATCCTCCGGTTGCACCATATAAATTTCATTTCTTCCTCTAGCTCACCATTTAAAAAAAACACAATTTTAAAATCTACTTGATGAAAGTAGTTTGTAACTAGAGTCCATTCCAGTTTGTATAACCCCCCAAACAAAATGTTTTTTTTTATATAAAAGAAATGGTTTGTGAATAAGTCAAAAATTCATCATTAATAAGGTTAATAAGATATGAATAAAAAACATTTCCGAAGGATTTATCTACCCTTGGCCTCTTACTTCTTCTCAAAGGAGAAAATTCATTTTCTTTTAATGGATCACTATCACTAGAGGGTTCATCATTAAAGGTTTTATTTCCTTATAATTGATCACAATCACTATATGGCGCAACGGTCTTGTGTTCAATTTTCAAAGGAAACACATTCTCAAAAAATTCAGCTTTTTTTGTTTCAATAGAGTATAAACAAATAATCACACATGCATCATTTAATGTGTACACATTCTCCAAAAGTGATCACATTAATAACATCAATAATATAGCATAGTATTGCACATTAGCACACTGTGTTTTTCAATTTAAGAAAATTATGTATATGCTCCACCGTTTCAGTTTATGCAAAAATAGCTATGAGTTATAAAGCTCATTTTCACTAAATGAAATAGGTAATAAAATTTAGATAAGCACCCCCACAATTTTAAATATTTAAAAAATAGGTGCATAGCCCTTCTAGACTTCATAGAGAGATAATTTATATCTCAACTTTTATTTGTACACAATGATTTTATTAAAAAGAAACCCGCCTTTGAAATTTAAATAAGATAAAATTTAGTTTATCTCGAAAAATCACTAATAAATGTGACAAAGAACTTTTACCACCTCTAATCACAGTGTAGATGCTCCAATAAAATTTATATAAATTCATCAAATATATCACAATTTTCTAGAGGTGCTCCCATATCACTAAATATCAATCTTAAGATATTTAGGAGTTTCATAAGTCAAACAAAATTAAAGACCAACAAAAAAAAATTGTCATGTAAAATGACAAATCTATTATATCACATAACACAATAATTAACGAACCGTAAGTACGCAGAAGAATCGTCATGCAACATTTCAAAATTACTAAGCACAAAATGTCCATCCTTACAATAGCCAATTCCCACAAAAATGTCATTTTTGGTCATAACAGAATTGTCACAACCAAAAGAAACTTTATCCCCAACTTTTCTCAAGAGAGAAACGGAAACCAAATTAGTTCGAATCTTGGGCACAGGAAACACATCATTTAGTGATAAAGTTTTCTCCGATGTGAGCTTCAGAAGAACTTTCCCTTTTCCATGCACCTTAACGGTTTTAGAGTCCGTTAGGTACACAAGCTCTTCACCATCTCCTATAATATAGTATAGGAGGCAAAAGCATTTTTTTTTACAAATATGCTTGGTAGTCCCGGAGTCTACAACCCACTCATTCACATCATTAGTTTTACAACTTTGAGAAACAGCCGCAATAAAATTATCATCACTACAAACCAAGTTTAAACTTGATCTTAGTGGATTGTTGTTTTTCATAGTTGTTATTTTATCACTAAATAAACTAATACCATTTTTTCTTAAAAAGTAGTGTTAAAGTATGGCGTATTGTAAGTAGGAAAGTGGAGAGACTAACCATTATACGTAGAAGACTTTTCTGAGCATTAATCCGATTAATACGGCTCTTCATGCGGGTGTATCACAGCCTACTTCGCAACGCACAAGTAGAGATAACATAGCCCCGATGAGTGCGGCGGCAACGCCTTGTGAGATGATATGTGCAGGCATATCCGACGCCATTTACTTTCTTGAGATTGTTGGAGGAATTAGTCAGATAAACCTGCAAAAAAACGTTAGAAAATAATATAGCTCGAGTCGTGTAAACGCTGTCCTTAAGAAAGTATTTCCGACTAGTGAAAATCTTTCCCCAAGATAAAACGAGCTCTTCGACGTAAGCCGGTAACAGAACAACGAGAGTAAAAATAAATATATTAATCCAACAGAGTAATGGGGCAGAAAATATATTTCGCTAGCTACTAAATATGAAGAGTAATATTTTCTTTATCTTTAAAAACAAGAACGAGTGAAGTTTGAAGCTAAGGCTCGTTCCCCTATCATCCTAGCTCCATGCAAACATGTATATATACAAAAAACCTCAGTAACAAGAATGAAACGTTTGGAGAGTAAATATTACTTTAATAATAATTAAAGCTAGCAGCTTGCTACAAGGTTTTCAAATGAAGGTGAATTCAAAAGGTTGATTAATGCATATTAATAAAAAATCAATAGCTTGTAACGGTTTTTATAAGAGCTCAATGGAAAATGTGCATTAAAGCATGTTTATTTCAATTAATAATCACAATAGGATCAAGCCTAGCTTGAAACGTTCAAAACTTCCTCCATTTTCATTATAGTTATAATTACTATGTATAATATGTATAAATATTTATTAATATATTAGTGTGTGATAAATAATTAAAGAACATAACATTTTATTCTTTTGAAATACTACTATTTTCCAACAAAAACAACCCATAATAAATTCCGGGGACTCCTAAATTAACGTTGAGGAATATATATTCATTCTAGGAGCCCATAATAATTGGGAGGATGATATATATTTTATTTGATCCGATAAAATGAAATATAATTAAAATAGTCCGAGAAATACAACTTTCGAGTCCGAAAATACATTTCGGTGCTTAAAGAGATGACCTCTCACGTGAGTGGGGGACAACCCATGAAACTATGTCCCAAATTATCCTGAGACAGCCCATGAGAGAATGGAGGAGGATTTGTTGGCTGGAGTTGATAGGTTGGGTGAGAGATGACATGAGGTGGACCTCCCATCCCACACTCATTGACCTATTGAGACAAAAGAGTCATCTTCATCCCTCCTCGCCATCATTTTCGACCAAGGCATCCAATTAGAGACAGATAGATCTGAAAATATCATCCTCCACAGCTAGAAGGAAGCTCAATCTAGGAGGAGGCCGAAGGAAGAAGGAAGAATATAGAAAAGGAGAGAAAACCTTGAGAATAAATTAAAGGCGAGGACCTCTTTAACACCTTTTCTTCACGCATTTGATTCTCATATGACTTATACATAATATGAAGGACCCCTAGGATTGTTCTACATGTTTAGAAGTGTAGAATGAGGGTTTGGAAGGTGGTTCTAAGTCCAAGAATGGACTTAGGAGGCAAGGTGACCGGTTCGCCGAAAAATAACCTTTTAGAGGTTATTTGTATTAATATGAGTTTTGGGATGTTAAAACCTTGTTAGAAACTTTTCCAAGGTGTTCTTAGTGCTCTCACGGAGTTGGAATTGTCGGTGGAGTTCAACAAAGTTCGTCGGAGTTTCACCGGAGTTCAACCGTAGAGGGTGAAACTTATTAAAGCTCATTCAATGTGAGTTGTGATGGCTTAATGTCTTATAACTCTTGGGTTAAGTATGATATTACCTACATAAATGTTATATGTATTCATAATGATGTTTAAAAGAGTTTAAGCATGTGATTAGCCAAGGTGATTAGGCTTATGTGTACTAAAATGGTATACTGTGCATGTAATTGAATAAAAATGCATATAAAAACATATGTGATATTTTGAATGGCTAAAACGGCATATATTGATTGTTTAAGACTTGATACATATTGTATATAAGTTTTGGAGCAATTGGAGTATGTTCGGGGGATCAACGGACCATTGACTCGGGCCGGGGCATACAGTGGATCGGCGCAGGTTTGGTCACTGTTTTGCCGGTTCATGAAAAATGCTATGAACCGGCGCTAGTCAGGCAGTGAACCGACGCCTGTTTCATCCTGGGTTTTGGGACTGGTTTTTGGGAAATGCAAGTCGAGTCCGGTTCAAGGTAGAATCGGCACCGACTATCCTATATATGTATATTTTGCATGGAATTGCATGGAATATAATGTTTAAATACTAAGGCTTGATATATGGTGATTAAATGTTAACACTTGGATTAGTCGTTAGTAATGATATGATATAGACCATAATCGGATAAGGTATATGGTAGATCATAGGTTCGGGCGGAGTATCCAGGGGCCAGGCGGTGTCATCAAAACTCATAGGTTTGGGTGGAGTACCTAGGGGCCGGGCGGTGTCATCAAAACTCATAGGTTCGGGTGGAGTACCCAAGGACCGGGTGGTGTCCTTAAAACTCGATTATTACGGGTGGAGTACCTAGGGACCGGGCAGTATCCTCAAAACTCGGATATTAGGGGTGAAGTACCCAGGGCGGGGCGGTGTCCTAAAATGTGTTATTACCGGGAGAGTGGCCCGGTGGCTAAGTAAGGCTAACAACACTCGGTTATATAATGAACTCTAGGTTATAGCGGGAAAGCTAATCAATGGGTCGGAGGTGGGGAAAGTCAAGGACTAAGTCCACCATGATTTTCTTGATTTGATCAAATGGCCTACGGGTCGGATATTTTCCAAGTGTATTTACTTATATGTATTTCAAAGACATGGGAGAATTATAAATGTATTACCATATGTTTTGGTCTTATATTTGAAATGTTAGTTATTCTACATTTAGCTTGCTTCTCGCCAATACTCGTGTACTGACACCCCTTTGGGGGTCATACCATTTTCAAGTTGAAGCTAAAGCTTGCTACATGCACCTTTGCATGGGTGAAGTGATTTTGAGGAAGACGTGGTTTGTGTTTTCTTTACTGTTTTGAAATTATAAACTATGCTCATGGATATTTTGTAATGACTACCTTGTTTTGGGCCTGCGAGCCCACGTTTTGCCACATGTGGCCCATGATTGATTTTGAATATTTCCGCTATTCATTCAATCTAAAGTGTAATGTTGTTATGTATGTTTACTTACTAAGTATGGTATGAACTATGTTCATGGACGCCTTGTACAGTCTAGTGAGTGTGACTTGCGGGTGACGTCAATTGACTGCGTGACGATTGTACACGCGCCTAGATGCGGTCTGGGGCGTGACACCTTTGCCCTCATTGTGTTCTTAAGAATGCCAAGTGGTCTCTACAGGTTACTTGTGTAATAAGCAAAAGCCAAGCCGAACTAGGACGGATAATCGCCGGCCGGAACATAACTAACCTAACTAGAACAAGCAAGGTTTCACGGTCTTGATGTCACACCCAATTTAAATAATACAGAGTAAAAAATTATTTATAAAAATATTTTTAATAATTAGATGCAACTTTATTTATAAAGGATTTCCGTTTTTGTTAATTACAAACCATCAAAAAATATTATCCAGACTTTAATTTGTTTTACATCATGTGTTCTTTAAATTATAATTATTGTAACATTTTTCAAAAGAATTTCATTTTGAATAAAATAAGTAATATTTTATTAATCCTATATGCAAATTCATTATTCGAAGTAAATAATATTGACTTTTAATAAACTACAAAAAAATGGATGGATGGTGAGTAACTAGTAACTTGTAAATACAGAGTATGTTATTTATATATTCAGAAGGGGAATAGCAAGTTTACAGGTATTTTGGCACATATAACTTAGGACACTTTTATTTTTTACTTGAACTAAAATTTTGTGATCTAATCTGGTTTGATTTGATTTGGCCTGGTCTGATTAAATCAGATCGTGTTGTACTGACATAATATTTTTTGAAGTGATGAGAAATTCGGCCGGCCATGAAGCGAAGTCTTTCACCAGAAACCCTACGGCGGCCAAAATGAAACCCTACGGCGGCGGCGGTTCTAAGCAGATTCTGCGGCGGCGGATTTATTACGTGACTCAACATCATCAGGTCAGTTTGTTAGAGTTTTGTCCCAGAGTTTTCTTCCGGAGTTCTTTTGTCTCCCTCGTGTGTGGGGAAGGTTTTCGTCCTCGCCGGTGGTCGAGAGAGTTTTGTATTTCGTTCTAGAATGAGTTGCGTTTGCTGGAATTGTCGGGGCTTGGGGAATCTTGCCACAGTCCAGATTCTCCAAGATATTACGTCGACATACCATCCATCGATAATTTTCCTTATGTAAACTCTATGTGGAAGTGACTGTTGGGTGTGTTTCGGAAAATAAAGAAAATTAATTAAATAAATCAATTAAATAAAATGACTAGAGAAAAACAAGAAAGGAGATGAAGCAGAATTAGCCAAAGCTCGTGCTACGCACGATTTCCTTAAAACGTATTTGTTGCCTGCCACGGTGCTAGGAGCGTTGCAACAATCGTTTCCCAGGATACGATGACTACGAACTAATGTTTGAGCACACAAAGAAGAGTTCCAGCGAACGAGAACCCAACAGAACACCCCTCGGAAGGGTTCTGTCCGAAGCCAACAGAACACCCCTCGGAGGGGTTCTGTCCGTAGCCAACAGAACTCCCCTTGGAGGGTTTCTGTTTGAGGCCTTCTGTCTGAAGCCAACAGAACCCCCTTGGAGGGTTTCTGTTCGAGGCCTTCTGTCCGAAGCCAACAGAACTCCCTTGGAGGGTTTCTGTTCGAGGCCTTCGTGTCCGCAGGTCGCCCGCGCACACGAGTCGCGGTTTTTCTTCTCCGTTTCGGGATTTGATCGGCACCCCCCCCCCCCCCTGCGCGTAAGAGAGAGCCTTTCCCTTTAGGAATCTTAACTCCTTAAAAGAGGCTTCCCTTTAAAAGGGGGTGAAAATCCATTGAGTTTTTCGGTGTGGGATAAAACACACTAGAAACTTATCATTTTCCCAGTTTTTCCATTACAACGAGCGAACTTCGAGAATCAATTTCTCATTCACCCGTTATCCGTTTTGAGCGTACCATATATCGAATTGTAGCCCTTAACAAGGACAATCCGAAACCACTTTGACCTGACCCAAATCGGAAGTGGACCCCACTCAAATAATTGCCC